GAATTAGTATTGTGTGAACTCATTTGACTTGAGTATAACTGACATTCATTTATATGCAAATGTGTCAATAATGCAGCTATAAAACATGTTTTGGGTGGACGAATCATTCATCAAAATTATGGAAGCTGCCGCAATTTGTACTAGGTAGATGCTTTTGCTAATTTCTCACATAATAACTGTGTTTCTGCTAACATTAAAGGTCATGTTCCCAGTATATATTTGCTTTAAACTACATAACACATCTTTAAAAAAAAAAGCTTCATCGCACAAGTTCAGCTCACATCTTCTTCAGAGACTCTGTCAGCAGTTATATGATAATATATGCGATAACATAAAATAATTCAAATTTTCCATGTTCTTGTTGCCGTCCTGTTGATGGAAACAATCTGTGTCTGGGCTCCTCTTCAGTTTAAAGGTGGCACAGCTCTGTGAGGAGCATATGGTGACTGAGGCATGCGATTCCCCCGGGCTCTGCCTTTGAAACTATGCAGGCCTATACAGTACCTCTTCCCCCTTACTGGGACAGCCCATTACTCTCTGTCACCGCCCTAAACAACGGTGTCACCTTACTATTCTTAGTCAAATATGAAAGCCTGTATATTTATATGAAATGACAACAGGACTTTCACTTTGAAGGAAGACGCTGTCATGTCCTGTCTGCTTGCGCGCTGTTAAAAATGGAGCATTATGAAAAATGAGAGAAAATGTTTAAAAATACATAGCAAGTTTTGAATATGCTGCCACAGTTTGAGCATAATCGCTGGAAAATGATTTCCCCACAAGCCTTTGTCAATAAATTTTTTATATTGTAGTGTTTACAGCTAATCAGATGAACAAAACAATAGCAGAAATTAACATAAAATGGTATTCAGTGTTTGACTGCAGTTTGAATAATCTCTTGTACCTCTAAATCTAATAAAGCGTGGCTAGCAGTGTCTTACATTTATCACATTAAATCTTAGTTAAAATATAAAAAACAAAAACAAAAAACAAACCTGTAATAACCCAAATTACTGTATGAGAAACAAACTAAACGCTAACTAATGTGGGACAACATTTTTCGATATATAACATTTATGCACAAAACCTGCTCCAGACTAACAGAGCAGCATCCATCTTAATTAGATACATTTCATTAGTAAACTCTTCAAGTAATCAGTCTAACCGTAGCTGATGGGTCGATACAAACCACAAACCACAAGTTCCCATTCTATTACAGGTAATTCCATCAGATAGAGGTACAACAAAATCCACAGGATCCACAATAGCGAGCCAGATCCACACAACTCACAGGACCCACAGGATATGTTCCAAACTCCTGTTGCCAATCATCACCGGGCCCACCCAGAGGTTCTGTGTCCATGCCCCATCAGCTCAGAGCAGTTTTAGCAATACCAAGGGGACCTACACAATATTAGACAGCTGCTTTTAATGTTGTGAAGTGAAGACTTTAATAGATGGGCACCAAAGGTTAGTGTCATCAATTTGAAATCCAAATGTGGCACACAGTCTCACCTTCTGCTCCTGAGTTACGACTTTTAATAACGTCCAGAAAGGTGTTTTTGCAGAACATTATGATATCGCAGTGAAGCCGACCTTTGACCTTTAGGATATTAAATTCCATTGTGTGACATTTTGTCATAATTAGCATATGAATCCTCAAAATCCCTCTCCAGTCATAGATTCAACCCGTAGAAAGAACAGCACAGATAGAAAAACTCATCTCTGTGTATCAAAGTTACACATTCAGAAGGCTTTTCCATTAAAATAATCGCTTTCTACCTTCAAATGTCTCGCATGAAACCCAACACGTCCTCTTCCTCCACCCACCACACCTGCTGCAGCTCAAGGACACCAGCTCACCTACAGCTCTGCTCAGAAACTGCGTAGCTGCTTTACACAATACAATGGCCAGTTGTAACATTGGAGTAAATCAGTCATCCATGTTCAAACTGGAGGCTGATTCTGGAGAAGAAGAATGATAAATTATGGAAAAATGCTAATATAAGCATAAGATTGTGTAATTCACTCTTGAGCTTCAAAAGAATGCTTCATAGTGCTATTTCTGAATGCTATAAATGTAGATGAATTGTTGCTTTGTTATCATAATTGTGGTTGGGTTTTTTTTTTCGGGGTGGGGGGGTTCTCTATTTTGTCTCTAGTGTTATCTTGGCAAGGGTAGCTTAAAAACGATAAGCACTTGGGATAGGCATATATAAGCATCTTGCTTCCACCTATGCCTTTTCAGTCACTATCTTGTTTGTACTGTATGAATTGTTTATAATTTTTTGTATTGTAAGATGACTGAATAAATGTACAACAATAAATAAAAATAATAATAAAATAAAAATACAGAAAGTCCCACAAGCTGATAAAATTTGTTTCTTCCATTTTTAAAAACAGGACTTGCTCGAGGGCTGAATCCATCTTTATGAGACTGTCACAGCAGTTTTAAGGTGTAAATGCCCAGAAATGTCAGTGATGGCTTGTTTTGTGCATGCTGCATCCTCTATCATGTAAAAAAAAAAAAACACCAAATGGACCTGTTAACAGAGAGGTCCTTTAGGTTCTGGATGAAAACATGTTTTGTGAGATCACGGCGACCTTAATGTTTGACCAACATCTAATCAGTTCATCTTGGAGACCAAGTGAATATAAGTGCTGCATTGGAAGAAACTGTGTATGTTCACACATACTGAAAGAAAAAATGTAATCTTGACTTTTTTGAAACTGTAGGGGCCACTGTATACAGTAAGTTCCTCCACACTGTGCTGAATCCCTCTAAAGAAGAGAAAACTTCATTCATTCATCTTATTTGTGTGTTTTCAAGGCATCAAAGCAAGCAGCTTGGAAACACTCGGTTAGTAAATTTTCTCAACTTTGCATGGCCCAAATTGTGTTTATTTAATAACTGATACCGAGAGAGTGTTTTTGCTCCATATTGACGCACCAGTTTGTTTCCTTTTTTTTTTTTTTTCTTCTCCCTGCCAGAATCCATAAAAAATTCTGTCCACACACTAAATGCAGTTCTGTCCTAAAAACAATCAAATCTCTCACATTAAATATTGATGCTAAATGCTGCCTGCTGACAGCTACAGTCTCTAAACTGCTGAACAAATGTCCTGGGAAAGCCGCTGCGAAGGTGGAGGAGACCTGCTTCAGCTGGCTTAACGTGTACTTCAGTGGGGCTTAACTAATGCAAGCGTTAAATAACTCCAGTGTCATCCTGTACAGCGGATCACTGGATCATGTAGGACACCTATAGTTAGTCTCCTATATGCACTTTAAATCCACAATATATGAATCATTTCAACCCATTCGGAGAGTTTAGTCACAGCATAAATTGAAACTGATGAGCTATGAGCACATCAGAAAGATTTATTCAAGATAATTCAGCTTAAAAGTCGAGTAATGTAAAGTTATAATATACATTCTAACGGACTCAAGGACCCTTTTAAGTCCTATTCAAACAGCTCTCCGTAATCTTCCTCGAGGGTATTTTGTTCTCCTTGAACATCTGAATCTCAAGTTGCACTTGCCTTAAATAGCCGTTCTTCAATCTCGGCCGTCTCTTTCTGACTTAAGTTCTCTCTCAGAAATTAAAGTCACAAAGAATGTTTATTGTTACGGCCAAGGTTATGTCTGCCGGGGGGATGTGGGCAGCAAGAAAACAAGGGCAGGATCCTGAAAGGCATCACTGTACACGGATGGATACAATGAAAGTCAGAAGCTTTTCAAAAGCATAAGTTCATACGGATGTTTATGATTTCCATATTTGGTTCAGGTTGGAGTTCAGAATGACGTGTTGCGTCTGTGATGGGTTGGGAGGTTTAGATCTCTCCAGGAACTCATGAGGTCAGTGACCTCCTCCTGCTGTCTGTGACCTCGTTCCTCACATCTCTGACTCCTTGTCCCATAAAACAGCCTGTTGACAGCCACAGTCCTGAAGAACAAATGGGATTGTCAGAGCCTACAGGAACGCAAGGCTATTGCTAAAGCTTTGCTCTCGTTTTGATTTGGTTTTCTCATCCTGTAAGCTGGGGACAGTGCACTGTAAAACACTAAAAATCAGTATTTTTACAAATTATTTCTAACCTTTATTTCACCGATTTCCCCTGTTTTACTAAATTGCAGATGATATCTAGTAAAATCACAGAAAAAAAACTATTAATTAACATGCTGACAATAATTTTTTTTTTACCCCAAATTGTAATTGGTGTGTGTGTGTGTGTGTGTGTGTGTTTATTTATTTATTTTTACAGTGTCTGATGTTAAAATTATACCATTTTATTGTATTTAAAGCAGTGCCAGTATTTTATATATAATTTTTTTTGAAGAAAAAGATGTATATTAAGGTTTGAAAAATAGCAAATCAGTTTTTAATGTTTAGTTTACTGATTTTTTCCTGTTTTGTTAAATTTCAGTCTAATATAAAGTGTTTCCACTTTATATTAACGCTTACATTTTACTCCACAAATTTTATTTTTACAATATGTGACCATAAAATTTTACTGTTTTACTGGATTTAAATTACCTAAAAATGTAATTATTTTACACTTATTTTCCATTATTGTCACAGTGTTTACAGTGTAGGGTTAGGGTTACCCTAACAGTTAAAGTATTCCACAGTTTTCAACATAGTTTTTTCTGGCAGACTTTTATTGACAGCGTATTGTGTAATCCATCAGTCAATCTGTCAGAAGCTGATTAGCATCAGCCCCTTTGTTAATGTTCTGCCCCTCAGGGCCTAATGAGTTAATCAGCTGGCAGGTTTTCCCCGAGGGCCGGACTTTTCTTTACGGCTCCGGACCACTTTTACCCCTCATGGTGTCTCGTTCTGCTCCTCAAAGCCCTGCTGCTCCTGCCAAGGTTTCAAATGACGACCATTCTGTCGCTCTCCTCCTTCCTTGTTCCACTTGTTGGTGGGGGGGGAGGAGGATGGCAGCAGAGAGGGAGTCTGTTTGGGGGTGGGGGGTGCTGAGGTCATAAAAAGGGATGAAGGAGGAAATGCAGGCAGATCCACTGACAAGCAGGGAGGAAGACGCTTTCAGAGGAATCACTATAAACAGACACAGACATGCCTGAGCCCCAGAAGCCAGGTAAGCCGGTCCATCCTGTGGGATTATATTAGGAAGCTCAAAAACAAAAGTGTGAGACGCGATTCAGTGTAACAAAGGAATGCTCAGACGTGTGAAATAGAATCTCGAGCCCACATTTTGAGCCCATTCTTGATAAAAAAAAAATGCTTGTGTGCTGGATAAACAAGGCAGTTGCTGCATTATTGCATCACGATACATCACAGCCTCACTTTTATAAGGTCATTAGTAGTTTATCTAGTTTCGTCCACTGATAGTAAAGCAACACCAAACTACTAAAAAGATTCTTCAGAGAAATGTGGCATGATTGTTCTTTTACTTTTTCTCATTTCCGGAAAAAAAAAGAAGAAGAAGCTGAGGATAAATGTGACCTCTAATACAGTAAAGATCTTTTAATATGCAGTTCATTAGTGGGCATGCGGATCAAAGCCTCGGAGCATTACGCAGTAATCTGTGGTATGAGTTTTAGATTTCATTAGTTACAAGCTCTTGTCTCTGTACACTGTCTCTTTGTTGCTTTCTCTGTTCTAGAGCTGTTGTAGAAACGTATTTTTGCATCTTATAAGGAGAAACTCTGCTGTTTTTAACAAATAAGGGCACAAATGCTAAAGATAAAAGTTATTATCTGGAATTTTAAACAATCTTTATTTTACAGATTGTCTCTGCTTCGGTAAATTAATAACAACTAGTAAAATGGCAGAAAAAAATGTATTGATTTACATGTCAATGAATATAAATCTGCAACTGTAACATTATTTTGAAGGTAAGTGCTGCTGTTTGAAAAAAAATAGTTCTGCATACTAACTAGTGAAAAAAATGGAAAGATTTAGTTAAATTACATGTAATTTCTAGTAAAATCACAGAAAAAAAAGTTAAGTTAATTTCCATGCTGACTGTAAAATGACAGGCCAAAACTGTGCTTAATGTCCACAGCAAAAATCTATATATACAAATAGTAATTCATTCTTTAACAATATGTGACTATAGAATATTGTTTTACTGCTCATTACTACTCATTTTCCAGATATTTAATGTCATTTTCATTTTCGTTTTTTTTTTTTTTTGTAGTTTTTGAACAATTCAGTATTCCACTGGTTTTTAAAAAAATTATTATTATTATTATTGGTATATAAAATAAAATGAGCCAAAATGCTGAGCAATGAAAATAAATATATAGAAATGCTTAGAACGGTGGCTATTTACAGTACTGTTAATGGATCTTGTACACTCTTATATGGACACATATGTTGCGTGTCATTTGAAGGTGTACATTTTATATTCTTGTAACATTTATTTTTTGTTCGATTATGATAAATAGCTTGGTAGAGATGCTCTAACAGGTAAATAGCAGCATTTGTGATACACACAGTAACTGTTTTTTCTACATAATTTTTCTGGCATAATCCCCATTTTTTTTGTTACAGTCTTTGAAAATCACAATAGTCGACCATTTTAAAACATATTTTGACACTTTTTTGACTTTATTATTTTACTAATATGCCAGCGTGCTCAGTTTTCTTTTATGTTTGTGCTTACATCTGTTTATTTGTGTCTTTGCTCGGCTATGTTGTAAACCAGGCCTCTAAGTCAGTGTCGCCTGAAATTAAATAAAGGTTGATGACTGATTGAAGTTCATTAAGCTGAGGGCAGCAGGAGTGATGAAAGGGCAGAAGCTGGCACAAATACAGTAATATCAGATGTGTAGTTCAAGGTTACAACTGAAGATATTTCTTTCTATGTGATTATGATTTGAAGAGAGATGAACTCGTTTCGTGTTTGTGTCTTATGGTGGAAAAATCGTTGAAGAGAAGTCTGAGAATTTTAAATAAGTTAAAGTTCGTTACACAAAATGGAACACAGACTATAAATGCCTTGCTTCATCGCTGATAATAAGCCCTTTTATTGCACCCTAAACTGCATGTATGTGATTCCAGCCGTGGAGTATAACCTTACTGGCATAACATTTAATAACCTCAGCACTGAAACACTAACCGGCCACCACAACACACCGATATGTGACATTAAACTGTACAGGCGGCGGTGTGTGTCGTAATGTTTCTATCAGGGTCTGAAATGTTGCTGCTGCTGCTTCTGTCAACAGCAACCTCAGAGTACCGTAAATCGTCTGGTAGCTCGAAAAGCGAGAAATGAAGGCATGCATGAGGAAAAAGGAGGAAAAAAGAGCGCGGGATGGAAGGTTGCAGATAAAAAGAGATGATTTGTGCGAGGGACCGAGTCAGGTGTAACTACCTGCTGTCGTATCTCAGCACCTCAGACACCTCATCTACATGACCCTGATTTTCCCTCTCATTCTGTTACTCCGTCTCCTCTGCTGACATCCATCTCCTCCTTACCAATCTGCATGAAGTTCACTGTATCTGTGTTTTCTTTGTGTGGGTTTCACCTTCTCCGTCACGGCCTGAGATGTCTTTTGCTTATCGAGCTCCTTCAAAGTCAACTTCCAAAAAAAAAAAAAAAAAACGTCTGTGGCTGGAAACAAAACGTGTTCCCAGAAGTCCACATTTAGAGATGCTGTGTGTGTGATAAATTTCATTTGATGAGCTTATCCCTTTTTATTCTCCTATCATGCGGTAATTCCATCCCCGCATTTGATTATAACTTCCTAACGTGTCGCCAATCCAGTGTTCTGACATCACACATATTATGTTCCCGTCACCACATTACTACCTTCTCTCAGGCTCCTCTTGTTCTCCTCCCAAATCCTTGCCCCTCTCTTGAACTTCATCGCACTTTCTCAGCTTTGGAGCCCCCCTGCCCCTGTCGATCAGCTGGTTACGGCTCATGTGACGCCCCCTGTGGCGTCCTGCTCTCGGCGGTTAAAGCTCTAGAAGCTGCGGTGATCTCGAAGAAGCACGCATCCCAATAAACAGCCACAAGAATAGTCTCTCGATGTGCGAGCGACGGCTGTGGATCCACGCAGGGAAAGACACCTCTGGAGAGGGAGGGGTGTGCACGGTTAGACCCTGGTTGACCCACAAAGGAAGAACAACACACACACTCACGCAAAAGAGCCCAGCCGGATCATCCTATCTCTCGTAGCCGTGCATTGTTTTGTCTCATGAAGCTCTTTGGAAGGAGCCAGTCACACAGTAATTAGACCTTGTGCACCACAGTTGATGCTGATAGTTGCAGGGTGCCAGCCTGGCGCTGCTCCACTGCTGAGCCTGTGCAGAAATAACCCAATTTTTAATTACCAGTAATACTGCCAGAGGCCAGCATCTCTACCCAAACATTCCTCCCTCCTCTGACAGGACGGGGCCGATCAGGGGCCGGCATCATAAAGACAGACTTTGACTCCGGCGTAGATTTAATTAACGAGTAGATCTCTGATAGATATCTGTGCGTAAAGCTGTCGAGGACCTTTTTCAAAACAAAAAAACATGGCAGACTAAGTAAGTGCCATCAAAACACTCATCGCCTCGCTCTGATTTCTTAATGTGACTTCTGCTAGTTCATCAGTCAGACTGATGGGTGACAAGTGGAAACAACCGTCCTCACTGCGCCCTCATGACTCATTCTATGTTGGCAAAACACAACTTATAAACCCTGTTATGCTCCTTTTGATTGCCTGGTGTTAGCATGGAGACATGGTTTTGTTTTGAATTAACCTGGCTTTAAGCTGGTTAACTTTTCGGCTTAAAACAAACCAGTCTGGTTTGCAACAGTTTCCAAAATGACAAAAAAGAGGAAAATGTTAACATGCTTTGGTTTAACTTTGAAACTTCCTGTTTCCACTTCTGTGAGTCCACGTGGACTTCTCTGTGGACATCCATGAGCAGTCCAAAACTATGACTATGCCACAAGGGCAATAGTGCTCATGTGATGTATATGCTAAATGAAAAGAATTTCAAACTAGAAACAACAATCACACATCTGTGGTGTCAGCTTCTGTCAGTGTGCACGTCCCCAAAGATGTACAATCAAGATTTTAGGAGTCTCTATTAGACTACAGGTTTATGCTGCTGATTTTTGTTGGATTGCTGTTTTGTAAAATACCCTTTTAGATACTTATTTACATTTTCCAAAAGGGAAAGATCTTCCGTTAGGGTGAAAGGAGCTGAAGTGTCACCCAGGATTTTTACTCAACTTACCAAATTACTGAAACTTAGGATAGTTAAGCGCAGTTTAATACCTCCCCCTGCTTACCCTGTCCCCCCAGAATGACATTCCTACACAGATAAACTGCATTCTATGGTTTGGTTGACACAAGTCATCTTGAAGTTTTCAGGTCTTCCAACTATTACCAAGTATTCATTTAACCCAAAGTGTAAAAAACAATTTTGTTGCTATGCTTAAAGGTTCTTTCCTTTTCTTTGGGAACCAACATACAGAAAATGGCAGTCGGATTACATCAAACCTAATTTTTGCACTTTCCCTTTAAACTGGAATACCAGTTTAAAATGTAACTTCAAGTTTATGGAATCCACAAATGTAAAATTGCTCTCAACAAAGCGTAAAGATAAGTGAGATTTATTCGAGGCAGTGCTTTTCTTCAACAACCTTGGTTAAGTTTAGGAACCAAAACTACTAACGCTTGGAAAATAGAGCAATTTGGGTTAAAATATGATCCTTTCACAACATATAACAATCTTCTCCTTAATGCAACAAAACACAAAGATACTTTTGATATGTTACAAATAAACATTATCCAGTAGAAAATCCTTCATAACCTAACTGGGAATGCAGTGTAGTTGTGTGAAACATCATTCTTGGAAGACAGGGCTGGGAAACCGGGCATCTACGCAAACCATCTTCTTGTTTTTGCAGACCAGCAGTTGTTTGGTGGAAGGTTAAGCCTCCTGTCACCCTAATGTCTTCAGGGTAGCAGGAGGTTGACATCATGTCACTCACTCCTCTGCCCCCAAAACCACACGTCTCACAACGGGTCCAGTGTAGCATTACTTCATACCGTGGCCATCATCAAGTTCCCACAGGTATGCACGCCCGGCTTGATGAATTACAGACAGATGCAGAGTCGAGCA